CCAGACCCACCTTGAGGTTGATCCCCTCTCCAGACACCATGGAGCAGACACACCTTCCTGCTGAGAAAGGGCAGAGAGACTCAGTGGCTTCCCTGAGGCAGCATTTGCCTGGGTGTTGGAGTGCAAATCAAAGGAAACACTCTACAGAAGAGTCTCTCTCTCTCTCTCTCTCTCTCTCTCTCTCTCTCTTTCTCTCCCCCCACCCCTCTCTCACACACACTCTCTCAGAGCAGCTGGTAGTTTCAAATAGCTGACCTTTTGGTTAGCAGCCCAGTGTGTAACCCAGTATGCCACCAGTAATCCTTTAGTAATCACAGTACTTAAACATTTTAAATGTGTGAATGATCTTGGTTTGATGTCCAATATGAGAAGCCTTCTAACGTTAGTGGGAAAATGGAATTAAAATATAATTGATATTTTTCCATGTAATTTTTGAAATTCCATAGTAGACATGATTTAAGACCCTCCCTTTAATTATATATATATATAGTCAAAGTTACGTTTTTAATATGTTGTTTACCTACATTTTTAGATACTTTTGGGGAGTAGCAGAGAAAGATGAAAATGGTAGAGCTACAAAGAATTATGTAAAATTTCCATAAGCCTATATACACTAAAGTGGATGATGTGAAGTTCAACTTTCCTATTTGTAGCAGAAAAAAAATTAATTGAGAATCACTGTTATGTACAGTCAGCTCAGCCTATGACCACTAGTGTGCCCTAGTGCTACTGATAGTCACTGATGGTCTATTCTCTCTGACTTGTGCTTAGCGGAAAAAAGGAGTATCATTTCAAAGGTAAAGTGGACTGGAACAACTGGTGGATCTGGCACCTCTTCTCAGATGTCTTAATATCTGTGTATCTGTGGACATATTTTCTCAACAATATGAGACACAATTTCTTTATAAGAAAGGTAGAGAAACTCTCTGAGCCAACAGATTTCACAGGGGTATTTAGAAGGATTGTTAAGCATAAAGATATTTCAGTTTTACTTTAACCTATGTAAAAAAGATTGATTTTAATATTTTAAAAATTGTTTGGAGCTTTGTTACTGCTTTTCTGTTCAAATGATACCTACTTTTGATAATACACATTTTCTCACCTCTACACATATGCCTCACTCCTTCCAGCCTCCATTTATCTAGAAATGAGAGCACAGTGGCAAATCTTAACTTTTCCACCCCACTCCACCTCAACTTACTTAGCAGTACAGGCCCAATCCTTCAAAGTATTCAATAAGCAGGAAAAATGGAACTCGCCCAATGCCCTTCTCTGAAATCCTAAATTAAATGTTTAATTCATATTATCTATATAAGGCAGTTTCAGGAAGAACAAGTTTTATACCTAAAGTTGTTTAGAATACATACTCAACTTCTAGACCTAAAATAATAAAATATAAATATGAATGATTTATACATTCTTATGTATGTAGATCTACCACTTGTCTGTCAGTTTGTCATATGTTACTGTGATGCTGGAAGCTATATCACTGGTATTTCAAATGCCAGCAGGCTCATCCAAAGTGAATAAGTTTCAGCGGAACTTCTAGAATAAGATCAGAAAACTAAGAAGGACTTGGCTCCCCACTTCAAAGGAAGGAACTGCTGAACATCTTATACATGGCTTTGAAACATTGTCAGACACTGAAGGCATCATGAGTGTAAGCAGAAACTGTTGGAGATCGTGCCAGAGGATGGGCCCCTTGAGTCTGAGGGCCCTCCAATTGTGGCTAAGGAGGAGCTGCTTTCTCAGAGTGAAATCGTCCATGGTGATGTGAGTCTGGTAAAGCCTGTAGGAGTGGAGCTTTCAGGACCTTCGTTTGCTGATGGGACATGACTCAAGGTAAGGAGAAACCGTGGCAAAAATCTACTAATGATTGGGACTTAGAATGTTCGAAGTGTGAATCTAGGAAAATTGGAAGTCATCAAAAATGAAATGGAACACATAAAGATCAATGTCCTAGGTATTAGTGAACTGAAATGGACCAGTACAGGACATTTTTGAATTAAAAAATTCTATGATTTACTATGCCAGGCATAATAAAATCAAGAAGAATACTATGGCATTCATTGTCAAAAGGACATTGCAAAATCCAACCTGAAGAACAATGCTGTCTGTAATAGGATTATAGCTATCCACCTTCAAGGAGGAAATCCAATCAATACAACTATTATTCAAATTTATGCACCAACCACAGAAGCTAGTGCGGAGGAAATGGAAGAATAGTACCAGCACTTGAGTCTGAAATTGATCACATGTGCAATCAGGATGCACTGATAATTGTTGGCAATTGAAATGTAAAAACATTGGAAACAAAGAAATAGGAACACTAGTTGGAAAATATGGACTTGGTGATAGAAATGAAGCTGGAGATTGCATAACAGAGTTTTGCAAATGCAACAACTTGTTCATAGAAAATACCTACTTTCCACAACCTAAAATGTGACAATACACAACTTGCCTAGATGGGATACACAGAAATCAAATTGACGACACATGTGGGGAGACAAATGGAGAGGCTTAATATCAGCTAAAATCCAGTCGGTGCTTACTGTGAACAGACCATGAGTTTCTCACTTCTAAGTATAGAATAAAGCTGAAGAAAAAAAACGAAAAGAAATTCACGGGAGCCCTACTATGAGCTTGGCTGTACCCCACCTGAAGAGTGAGGGCACCGCAAGCACAGATTTGATGCACCGAACATGAGTAATCTAAAACCGGAAGACTTGATGGATTGTTGGAGGACATCGAGACCACCACTCATGAACAAAGTAAAAGGTCCTCAAAAAGAGAAGAAAGAAAGAAAGAAAGAAAGAAAGAAAAGATCAAAGTGGATGTCCTACGAGACTCTTAAACTCGTCGTTAACTGTAGAGTAGCTAAGCCAAATGGAAGAAAGGATAAAGTCCAAGAGCTGAACAGAAAATTTCAAAGGGCAGCTCAAGAAGACAGTCAAATATTATCATAATGAAATGTGAAAAGATATAGAATTAGAAAACCGAAAAGGAAGAACATGCTCACCATAGCTGAAACTGAACGAATGGAAGAAATGCAAGCCCTGGGCTGCAATTTTGAAAGATTCTACTGTGAAAAATGTTCAATGATGCAGGAAGCATCACAAGAAGATGGAAAGAATACCCAGAGTCATTCTACGGGAAAAAAAACCCAAAAAACACCTGTGGACAGCTCACCATTTCAGGAGGAAGCCTGTAAGTAAGAACCGATGTTACTGGAGGAAGAAAGGAAAACTGCACTGACTGCATTAACCAAGAACAAGTCTCCAGGAATCGGTGGAATACAAATTGGAATGTTTCAGCAAGCTGATGAAGCACTAACACTCTCGCTCATCTCTGCCAGGAAACTTGGAAGACAGCTCCTTAACCAACTGACAGGAAGAGATCCATATTTGTACCCCTTCCAAAGAAAGATGACCGAACAGAATACTACAGAAGAATAGCATTGATATTGCATGTAAGTAAACTTTTGCTGAAGATCATCCAACAAAACCTGCAGCAGCACATTGACATGGAACTGTCAGAAGTTCTGGCCAGATTCAAAAGAGGACGTGGAACAAGGCATATCATTGTTGGTGTCAAACGGATCTTGGCTGAAAGCAGAGAATACCAGCAAGATGTTTACTTATGTTTTATTGCATATGCAAAGGTATTTGAATCTGTGGACCATAATAAGCCATGGATAGCCTTTAGAAGAATGGACATGCCAGAACACATTGTTGTGTTCCTATGGAACTAGCACATGGATCAAGAGTTGTATGAACAGAACCAGGCCATACTGCATGATTTAAAATCAAGCACGATGTGTATTAGAGTTGCATCCTCTCACCATACTTGTTCAACCGTGTATGCTGACCAAATAACCAAATAAGTTGGTTTATATGCGGCAGACAGAATGTGGCGTCAAGGTTGGAGGAAGACTTAGTAACAACCTGCAAGGTGCAGATGACACATCCTTGCTTGCTGAAAGTGATGAGGACTTGAAGCACTTGTTGGAGAAGATCAAAGTTGCCAGCCTTCAGTGTGGATTATGACTCAATGTAGAGAAGGCCAGAATCCTCACCACTGAACCAACATGTCACATCATGATAACTGGAGAAAAGGTTGAAGCTGTGAAGGATTTTGTTTTGCTTCGATAAACAATCAATGTTCATGGAAGCAGCTATCAAGAGATCAAAAGTTGAGTCACACTAGGTAAATGTGCTGCACAAGACCTCTTCAGAGTATTGAAAAGCACGGCTGTTACTCTGAGGACTAAGGTGTGTCTGACCCAAACTGTGTTTTTTCCATTGCTTATATGCCTGTGAAAGGTGGACATTGAATAAGAAACACTGAAGAGGAATCAATGCAAATGAATCATGGTGCTGGAGAAGATTATTGCAAGCACCACTGACTGCCCAAATAAAAACCAAATTATCTTTCTCAGAAGAAGTCCGGCTAGAGGCAAGGATGGCGAGACTTCATCTTGCGTACTTTGGACATATTGTAAAGAGCGACCAGTGTCCGGAGGAGGACATCATGCTTTGTAAAGTGGCGGGGCAGCAAAAAGTGGAAGATCCTCAATGAGCTGGCCTGACACTGTGGCTGCAAAGATGGGCTCAGGCATAGGAGCTACGGTGTCCCTATGGGTAGGAAGCACCCCAGTGGCACCTGGCAACAACGTATCTGTGGGTAAAAGAAATTTGCTCTTTCACCAAATCCTCACAATCTGCTATGGAATAAGCAGCACCTCCTCTGTGTAAAGAATGAATCTGAGTACAGAGAGTCCAGGAAATCTGCATGCCACACCAGGATTTGAGCACTGTTCATCTGGGTCGGAATACAATGGTTTCTTTTCCTTACTTCACTAGGTTTGGGGACCAACATTTCTTTTGATAATATAAATAAAGCTATCAATTCACCGAAAAAGGAAATAAAAAGTAAAGGTAACAATTTATGTGCATAGTATGTAAGCATTCAAGAAACATTTGAAATCTATCGTTGGAGCTTATCGAGATTGAGGTTTAAGAAATCTTTATTCAAGAAATGAAAACCACCTTCCAGTAATTCAGTTACTAAGAGTGGGCTTCAGATTTTTGTGGAAAATTCAGTTATCTGCTAATTTAATTTTTCTGAGAATTTTTGGAAGCCTCTTATCTTCAGGCCCTAACTCCTTCCGTTACTCTTTATCATAAATATAGGGACCTAAATGATAACATTTTTAGAAGTTTTTTCAGAACTTATATAGTTACATATACATATATAGTTTTTCATATACATATATAGTTACAAAAAAACTATATACATATATAAATGAGTGATTCTCTAGATATTCTCAACAAGCGATTTTCTATTTAAAGAAATTTTGGATCCAGTAACTCAAATTATAAAGAGATTAATAAAGGGTGTCTCAGGATGGGTTGCTTAGCTAAAGGAACTGGGAGTATATAATCTAGAGAAGAGAATATGTAGATTACCCCACATAAGAAGGAACAATATTAGTGGTTTTTGTGGCCTTCAAGGAGGATAAACAAACAAACAAATTCATTTCCATAAAGTTAATTCTGACTCCTAGTGCCCTTAAAAAGAGAGTCAACTCCCCCTGTGGGTTTCTAAGCCTGTAAATCTTAATGAAAACAGAAAGCCCATCTTTCTCCTGCAGGGGAACCAATGGTTTCAATGGGTTGCCCTTGCCGTTAGCCACCCAGTGCAAAACCACCACGATTTTAACTTGAGCACAAGTAGAGGCTTGATTCATAACTTTAAAAAAGACATTAAAACCCACAATGGCTAGTAATTTTTCAACTTTAAGTTTAACCTGTAGGCATATAATAGTTAATGCAGAGAAACCTCTCTCACCTGCCCAACTTTCCCCAAATGATAGCTATGGGACTTGATTCCTTTCTAACACGTAGCAAATTTATTTCTAACACTCAATATTTTTATGAAAATGTAAGTGACTTAAAGGTGCTACAGTAGCTTTAGGGTCAGGGGACAGTCCTGGAACTAAATTAAGAGAAAGTGAACCTGCATGAGGCCACTGGGTAAGTCTGAGACACTCATCCAGATTCACTGCTGGCCTGATGTCCAAATGGCACCCACATGGTTCTTTGGTGTTTTCTCATTATAAGTGTGTATTTTCTCACTTTTGAAATTTTCTCTGTTCTGCTTTAGGATACGTCAAACTAATATACACATACGCAGTACAGGCAAGTGTGAGGAGAGCAGCATGCCAGCCACGAAACCCGTGAGCGCGCCGACACCTGTGAGTTCACTGATGCTCCTGGTAATGCTATTAGAACACCTGGGTCCTACTGCTTTCATTTGGCTCTGGCTGATGAGCATTTCTTTGGCAAGGGAAGTGACACAGGTCACGTGACCCCAGAATTGGTTCAGTTTTCATATTCAAGATCATTAATTACAGGTAGATGGAGGGTTATTAACATAGGCATTAACATTTTAAAATCGATTTCTCATTGCATAAGTTCAATAGATTTTTATGAGCCATGTTCTAATACTTTTATAGGATGAAACACTACAGTATTTCTGATCTATAAAAAAGATGAGACATACCTAGAGGTCAGATAAGTGACAACTAGATTAAAGCAGCACTAAGCTGTTTCTCAAGATGAAAAGTTGCCTTAATTCTTGGAAACCTTTAAAAGAATGTTTCAAATACACATCACTAAGTCCCTGATGATTGCCTTTAAGACATCTCTTCTTCATGTCAGGTGGTATGTTATTTGGGAAAAAAATAACAGAATTTTCCAAGAAAGACCTTTTATTGCATAGATGATCAGATATATCTAGGTTAAAAATTCCAGATTGTGACATTTATTAGGTATGAGAACTTTGACAATTTCTTAAATATTGTAAGTCAAATCTTAATTGAGTTATTGAAAATATTCAGTAGTCAATGAATTTTAGGCATTTAGTACAGTGCCCGGTTAATTGTCATCTTTATTATTATCAGTATTACTATTATGCCTAAGACACCAAAGTATAAATTTATTAAAATAGAAGAGACCGAAGTCTGAAGTTATAGAAAAGATCTGACACAATATATTCATTTTCTAGTGTAAAACCTAGAATATCATCTTAACTGATACAGTATGATTACAATGAATTTGATTGTTGACTCTTACTCATTGAGTTACTATTTTCCAAAATGGAGAATGTGAACTGTTTTTTTCCAGGGCTGACATACCTTGATATTATTATATCTGTGGTTAATTTAGTGGTATCTTTACTCCATTCCATGATCATGAAAGTGTTGACAATAATGGAATTGAAAACCATTCTATGAGCTATGGTGATCTTGGTTAAGTACACTGGACTAGATCAAAAGAACTATTCAAGAAGGCTTTATGGGAAGGCTTGAACAAGAAAGCCCAGGATATTAAGGTGCTTGGGTTTTCACATTAGCAGCTCAAAGGCACAGTAGGAAGAATGCCGTGAAGAAATCAAGAGACCACCATATTTTTCTTTTGTGAATTTAACAAATAATCTCCCTACCTCTGGGTCTGTATTAAATAATAATAATTTTTAAAACCCTCTCCAAACTCAGTGCCATTGAGTCTATGCCAGCTCATAGGAACCCTATAGAAGAGGACAGAACTTCCCTTGTGAGTTCCCAAGACTCTTTACAGGAACAGAAAGTCCTGTCTCCCACACCGAAGCTGGTTGTTTCCATCTGATGACCTTGTGGCTCACAACCCAACTTACAAATGCTATGCCAGCAGGGCTTCCTGCAGCCTTATACAGTCCTGAGAAGAGACAGTTTAAGAGTTCTAGTCCTAATAGAACAGTTTTGCTATCCTGTTACCCAACAGGAGAGTTTTTTCTTCATGTTATTGGTAGACTATACTAGTCTGCCTCTCCACAAACACACGCAGCCATATACATTTCACAACAGGGGGGACAGAATTATAGCGTAAAGAACCCTTGTGCAAATCCTACAGCTATACCCAACTCTATTTGTAATCCCCTTGCTATTAGGCAAAACTACACACACACACAAACTAGTTAAAAAGGAACATGGCATAGAGTCATAAAATAAGATATAGTTAACCATATAATGAAAAATCATTCTAGGGTTTAGCAGGAAGGTTTTTGTAAGGGAGTTTCTCTTTTTGACTTTTGGATATTTTCCTTTACCTATAATCATGTAACAGACACTACTAATTATGGCGATTCTTTGTGATAATAATTTAATGAAACAAACCAATAGAACAAGAGGAGTTCTGCGAATGGAGCAGAAAAGTGACATTTAAAATTCTTCTGTACGCCGTGAGAGACCTTGGGTGCAGATGCCACAGGAGGGACTGGCCTGGTTGAGCTCTAGTGACCGTTTTCAGTTCATAACCCGAGGGTGAGAAGCTGGCCTTTCTTGCTAGGTGGGAGATTCTTAAAGTGTCTCTAACTCACAGGATAGAACAGACAGATAAGCAGTAACAACTCGCCTGGAAAAGTCAGTCAAGGATCCCAGAACATTTTCCTTACTGTTTAGAACGGAACTTTCTAATTTAAAACAACTATTAAACAATTATGACTAAAAATCATGTAACTATTTGGTGCAGGTGTTCTCATGATATCTTCAAAATAATGTCAGAGTAGTGCTTAAGGAAGGATCAGTATCTTCTCCATTACAAAGACAATATGTCATGAGGAAATAGTATGGTTTACTGAAGGTTGTTAATACTAGACCTAGTGTCTGAAGTCAATCTTCCAAGCTCATTTCTTACAGTCATTAATTATCGCTTATGTTCGAGGAAGTTCTGAAAACCAGATAATCTAAAGATGTATAGTATAAATTGAAAAGATTGCTATCTTGGAAAGAAATTATCATATTAATTAAAATACCAATATTACTCTATAAGACAAAAAAATGACTTAGCTATTTCAAGACAAAGATTGTCAAGGATTGAGCTAAAGCATAACCACCCTGCCTAGAGAAACCGCAAACTTGATTTAAGAATGGAAATATTTAAAATGACAACCTTGTTCCTTCATATCCTCTCCTCCACTAAAAACAAAAAGATGATACTGTTTACTGAGGTCGTTTCCCCCACTTAAAAAAAAAAGAGATTTATCATTGATTTCATGACTACATCTATGAGTCAGGCAAGGAAGACAAATGGCAATATTCTAATGGCATCAAATGTAACCGAGGAAGCAATGGCATTAGAGAAATGCCACTGCGTGAGGCTGTGGCAAGTCACTAAACTTTGATACTCAGTTTCCTCATATCTGAAATGATGTAATGGCACATACCTCTTTGGGCTACTGGAAGCATCACATATCCTCAAAAGCAGAGTTGAGCCATATAGATTTGTGTATCCACTTCAACAATGGATTATGATTTAGCAATGCTTTCTATTTAGTAACTAGTGCATACCAGATGAAAACAAACATTTGTGGGATAAAACGTGAATCATTTAAGGCTGCGAGTTCTTAGCAGATGCAAGAACCCAAGGGGGTTTTCTTGGCACATCTATAACTGCACTGTTCACATTTCTACAGTTTTCCTGCGTGTCTACCATCTAATTTACCGATTTTCTATTCTAGGACAAATTAATCTGAGAAATGGAGAAAGCCAGGAGAGAAAAGTATACCCCACTTATGAATCAACTACCTTCACATCTGTATATACAAAGAACTATCTCAACTCATTTTGTATGCTGTGGGCAACAATATTAAACTTCTGGGGACATGGAGGCACTGGCTTTCAATCTCTTTCATCTCTTCTCTCCTAGACCAGAAACTGAGGGCACAGCTACACCCCGTCTTCATTATGGTAACCTCCTGATTATAATATTGTCTGTCCAACTACTTACTTAATAAAGCTAATCTCAAGAGACCAATATTTCTGGGACTTTTTATCACTGCCTGGATAAGAAGAGTTTATTTTGATAAATTTTGACTAAACTCTGATAGAAGATGTCTTTGTTCCTCAGATAGAAATGTCTGTCTTCATTGGGAAGAAGTATCTAAAGAGAGGTGGGGAGATACTCTTTGAAAAAGTGGGTGGTTTGAGCTACTTGCTGTGAGTAAGCCAACTGGTGAGACAGGTGCAGAGGAAAAGAGCCAGAGCCTTTGTTATCAACGTGCAAGGAGACAAAGTAGACCTACTTTAACAAAAACGGCCTCTTTAATCAACAAATTGAAAGTCTTTCTTTCTCCTGTAAAGTTTTTACAGGGCTTTGTAATCAAAGGAGGGAGATTCCTGGAACAATTAATAAATTGGTGTAGTCAAACTTGATTCAAACTATCTGACTTTGGGGTTGTTTTCTCCACTTGGGGGGCTTGTTAACATTTTAGCTCCAGGTATTATTAGTTAGTTTTGTTTTAACAGACTCCTGGATTGGTTAAATCTTAACTTCTAAAATAAAACAACAAAGGTACATTAATTTTACCATGAATTCCAACAGGATTATAACACTGAGACTAAAGGTGAGCAAAATCCAGGAAAACAGCAATTCACTGAGGATTGATGTGACATCAAATCCCTCACGCTCCTCTTATTTTGAGGATTCCCACTCTTGGGAAACAGAGTATCATGACCATTGGGATACATCTTGTCTCAAAGAGGATGCCTGAGAATCCTTAATCAGAATAAACAAAAGGACATTGCTTAGATCAAAGTTGGCCACACTCTAATGAATTAAACAATAAACAATTAATCCCCGAAGGTAGTGTAATATTTTCAGTGAGCATAAAAAATATTCTGCTTCTGTGTGCTTTGGTTCACCTTACATAATAATAAATTAGTAGATAATATCACACATACAAATTAAAGGATAGATAATCCTATAGTGATTCAAGAGGGCAACCACCACCCTATCGTGGGAAAAATGTTGCCAAACCTGATCCATCTTCCTGTCTCACCTCCTTGTGATCAGGGCTAGGTCCACTGAGACGCGTGGTAAATGGCTTATAATCCCAACTCTGCTCCAGTGATGTTCCTCTGGACAACAACAACAACAACAATAATTATTTTTAAGTGAAACTCACCGCCATTAGTCAATTCCAATTTATAGGGCCCCTGTAAAACAGTGTAGAACAGCCATGTGAGTTGTCAAGACTGTAACTCTTTATGGAATTAGAAAGTCCTGTCTTTCTCCCATAGAGCATCTGTTGGTTTTGAACCACTGACCTTGTGCAACCACCACACCACCTAGGCAAGCAGGTGTTATTGATGAGTAAGTAAACACCTCCAAATTTGACTCAAAAAACAGTCTGAGGTAATTCCAGTTTAAGGACTACTTCCACAAGAAGTCTGCTGGCCTTTGAAGGATTTCTTTGTGCCTAGCGTGAGGAAGTGGGTAGTGTTAGAAAGGTTCTAAATAGCCAATTCCATTTGTCTCCAGTCTAAAAAATGGATGATGGACTTACAGAAAGTACCATTCACATTCTGAATGGTCTAGGATGGGGCCGGTCCTGGTGAAGGTGTTCTCTAGTGTATAAGAGCGGAAAGAAAAATCCAAGAGTGCATGAGCCATTACATTGCATTACCATTAACCCCCACACAGGCTAGGGATAGGACCTGCTGCTGTGCTCACTGTCGAAGTTACTGGGGTATGGCTTCCCTCCACATAAAAAGGTATATCACCACAGGCCACAAGGACAGATTGCCATTAGGACTAGGTATACTGTTATGGTTTACATCCATAAGTCACACAATACTTAAGGACTAATTACAAGAGGGGAAAATCTGGAAAGCTTGTGCTCCTCACTCTCTGAACGTTCATGCCACCCACTGTCTTTGCTGGTGGAATTATGAAGACATGTGAGTAGAAAACATGGGGCAGAAAAAGGGCATCAAACCAGTGAGCAACAGGCTGGGCCCCACGAGTCTTGATATACTCAGGAGCCATCAGGGATGGTGGAGTGATGATCAAACACTGGAGGTTATCGCAGGACTTACATCAACCAACATTGGAGCAGTTGGTGGCAAATCCAGCAGTTGCCTTGCTTTCTCCTGCTGGGACCTGGAAACCAGGCTCTTTGAAGACAAGTCACACCCATCAGGTAGGTAGCTGGGCTCTTGACATCCAAGTCTAGAGCTCCAAATGCCTTTCTCGTGGCTGATTTCTACACCTATGTGGGAAGTTGGTGACATTTTCCACAGAAGTATGCCCTGCATCAGAAAGGGTTACCAGAGTGATGACAATGGAACCACCGTGTTCCCTGACTGTTATTTTCCATAAGGATGATTCTCAGAGAGGACATTGTCTTTTCATTATAAACAACTCTTCTAGGCCGAGGGGTCTCCACACTATCCAAATGACACATCCCACTTGCTGCGTGTTAGAGCCGACACAGGGCAAGGTTAGGGCATCTCCAACCTTTGGAGTGAGCGTTGCTCTTGCTTAGTGGAGGCTTGGTGGACGCTTTCTTGGTAATGGCTATCTGCAAGACAACGTAGAGATATAAAGCTAGGAAACGTCTCACACCCATGACTGATTTCTTTAAAGAAATATTTTCGATTCTGTCAGTGTCCAGCAGTAAAATGAGTTATCATGTGTTGCAACCATAGGAGTTGTGTTCGGTTGGGTTGTCTAGAGAAACAAACCCAGAGACACTCATACACGTAGAAGAAAGAAGTTTATATCAAGAAGTAATTTTACATCAAGGAGGCCTTGCAGCCCAATCCAACTCAAATGTATAAATCTGATCCTAGCCATGCTCAGACTCATTTGGCTGCAGGCTGATGATGCAGAAGGGTGAAATGGGATGCAGGAAGATCACAGCCCATAGACACAGAGTAGCATGGAAACAAGGCAGTGCAGTGACAGCAGCTCTCAGAGTAAGCTGGCCCACATGAGGCTTCACCTGGAAGCAGTCACAGTCTCCCCAAAGGAAGAAGAGATGCAGAGAAGAAGGGGAGGGATCCCCAGCATCTCTCTATAAAAGGACCCATCTCCTAGGAGATATCATCAGGCTGCCACCTGATTACCAGGGTGAACCCTCCCCCTACACAAATATATGTTGGCATAAAAATCTAACTGCCACAGGGGATAAGTCCTCTTCCTGTGCGAAGAATGTCCTCTGGAATTGACTCCAGCTAACTTTAATGAGGAGAGAGCGATGCGGGAGCCATCAAAGGGACTGGTGCACTTAGATGCAATTTACACTCTGGGGTACAAGATTTTCCAGATCTTTAACAGGTCCTTGTCTTCTGGCTCAAAATTGTCCAGAGGGGTAACACAAAATGGAGTGAAAGTATAATGCTCAAACCTGGGCATCACCTCTGTGGGGAGCTCTTTGGACATTCGGCCAGCCTTTTTAGCTCTGCAATGGTAGGCCTCTAGTGACAGGATCTATTAATATGAAAGCTTTTTAAGTTTCACATGCCCAGCGCCCCTTCGGTCTCACTATGAAGTCTGCTTGCTAATTGGCACTCCTCTCCATCCCTCTATGTTGGACCCTGCCTTGTAAGGGAGGAGTGGTCTTGGGTTAGTCTGAAGGCATGTGGGGCATCTGCTCCTCGTGTTTTGAAATCATTCTCCTAATTCTGGTGGACACAGAAGTTTCACCTAACACCCCTTTTAGGTCCTCAAAAGTGCACCCTGTTTCCTAAATAAAGAGCCAAAGTCAAGGCTTGCAAACTAGATTTGGTGGCTGTCTTTGCTGTCAGTTGGGCTTAGTGTGCCCCTGGATCTCCCAAATCGTGGTTTTCTGGCACCTTGGGGAGAATAGAGCAGCTAACTGTAGAAGGCCCTGGACTGAATCCAAGAGCTGCAAGGTCTCTGCAGTGTGCTTTATTTCTTGCTGGGTTACTCTCAGTAGCCTTCTCTCTCTCTCTCTCAGTGTCACTGTCTGCTGACCCTTCCTAGAAGGAGGGCTTTTGCCCGGGCCATCAACTCAGCTTATTGACCTGCAGTCTCAGAGGAAGAGAAAGGCAGCAACCCCCCAAATCCCAGTCAGCATTGCCATCGGTACCCCACTTCTCCACGTTCCCGATCCACGCAGCCACTTTCTCTGCAATCATCAGTACATTGAGGGTTTGGGGGGACTATGTATGGCCTGCTGTCATGCACTTCTTTAATTATCTGGACGTAATCATGACTATAACCCTTCTCCCCTTCGGTTGTGGGAAGGAGAATAGCAAGGTTAAGGGTGGCTACTTCCTGAAGCTTCAACAGGCCAGTCATCTCTAAGCAGTCCCATCTAGCTGCCTAAGAGGTAAGTTACAGACCTTCTGGATGCACACCAAGTCTGCAGTGAGGGCATCCAGCCCACTGCCCTTCCCTTACTATGCGTAAATCTGAGGATTTCTGGGTGTCAGGTAAATACAAGGTATGGACAGTTAATGACTTGTTTTTAGGTTGTATGTTGGGCTGAAGGATGACCTGTTAAAACTTGCCAGTTGTTTCTTTTGTCAAAGAAACATAAGATTTTCTGCTTATTGAAACATAAGATTTTCTGCTCCTGTAAAGATGTGCAACGATGGAAACCCAAAAAGGCCTTTCTGCGGTGCTCTCCAGGGTTTCCATGAGTCAACATGGACTAGATGGCACTGTGCGAAGGGCCCTTTTGCAAGTGGGATTTCATTCTTAGGAGGCTGATTCCTCCCCTTTGAGAGCATCTTAAAGGGACCTTAAAATCACCCCTAAAATGGTGTTATTTTCACTAGGCAGAATTGAGCTATTCTTACAAAATTTCTCAGTTTTCTTTACCGTCTGAGAGGCAGAAATGAGTTATTCATAAACATTTTCTCAGTTTTCTTTACCATCTGAGAGGGAGGGACTTCTCAGCTTACCAAGCTACAGCCTTTCTTCCTGTCAGGAAACCACTTCACATGTACTTCCTTTCTGCCATGATGGTATTTCAACGGAGTTCTTCTTGGCGATGCTTG